TACATATATCATTTTTATAAAATATACATTAATGCATTGCACAAATTTAAGTAAAACAAGTACAAGATAAAGTAATAATCTGTAACATTATTTTTTAAATAAAAAATATATTTTAGATATTTTAGATAGATTTTTAGAAGCTTGCCTGGAATACTCTTTTGCATAGTGAAAACGTCATTTTAGATAATTTTTAGATAAGATGATATATATTTTTTATCTAAGATAAAGATAAAGATACTTTGTCTTTCTTCATCTAGTTAAAGATAAAGATGATCCATTTCTTTATCTAGATAATTATCTAGATAATTTTATTTAGATACCAGCAAACTCTGAATGTAGGCAATTATATTTTACTGCGAGTTAGATCGCGCACGCCCTAGACGTGAAATATGTACCATATATTGAAATATGTATATTGATTGTGTACGATCGATAGAATTCGTGACACAGCAGGCCGATGCGAAATCGAAAGCAGAGTTACGGATCAGCCGGTCGAGAAACACGTGTTTATTTATTTCGGGCCTTCCCTGACATAGCTCTTGTACCGAATTTGAATATAACGCAGTAATTTCCTGAATATATATACATTCTTCGCTTTTATATATTTTCCTTCCGACAACACTATCTGTCCGTACGTAAATATAACTCGGTTTCAGCCTTTTCCGTCTACAGTAATTATAAAATTTATTTATGGATTAATTAAGATAATTATGATAATAGATCAATTGCGATAAATAAATGATTATATCGTAACTTTTTCATGTTGCTATTTCAATAGTATATAAGACATTTTAAATTATATTGATTATATTGTATAATTGATTAAATTGTATAATTTGATTATCTTGTATAATGATTAAAAAGAGAGAGAGAAAGAGAGAGAGAAAGGGAGAGAGAGAAGTTGCAAAAATAGTAATATTACTCTTACTTGTGGTAAAACTTTATTCTGCTTAAACAAAGCAGCTTTTTAAATTCTTCTTTACAGTTTCATATTCACGTATTCGGTCGAAGTTTGATTTCTACTTTCTACAATTCTTGAAGAAAGATGTGTCTGGCATATTTAATAATAAGACGGAAAATTCATAAAGCAAAATGTACGTACTAATTTAACTTTATTGTTTCTTTATTAGCTTAAGTAAGAAATTTATAAAATTAAGTGAATTAAAAAGTTTGATACAAAATGCCGTTTACTAATATTTATTAGGAAGTTTAATAAAAAGAAAAGAATAAAAAAATTCATATTACGAAATTATATGACGTGATTATTATATAAAGAATTTATTATTTTATTACGTATCTTTATTTATTTTTCGAAATGCGAAAATACTTCATAAACTTGGAGAAATATATAACGTAACATGATAGGCTTCTAGTATCATAACATAATATTTTATAGCGAATTATTGATTCAATATATTCAAAATCAAAAATTTTATCTGCACAAAGAATTTCCTGCGTAAACTAATTTATAATTTTTTTATATAATATTATATTGATCATAAAAAAGTTAAGCATCTTAGAAGAACATCTCGATGCATTATTACATATTGTACGCATTATAGTGTCTTGACATGCGGTTATTATATCACTTGGTTAATTTGTATCTTATAGTATTAAGAGCAATAATTACAGAATATGTAGTGTGAATAAATCGCAGTTGTTAAGAAATCGTAATTTTAAGAGAGATTTCCATGTTATTCTTACTCATTTTATTCGCCAAGAAAATGCTATCTAAAGAATTGTAGTAATTGGAATAGAAAAAATAATTAATAGTGTATGTAAAAAATTGACTTTTACAGTTGCATAAAATTGCTTTATTTGGATGAAATAATAGGAAATAGTTGCATGTAGAGATTTTTTTTACGATTTGACGAAGAAAAGAAATATGTGAATTGTTATATTTATTATATACGTGGAAAAGTAACAGATTTAAAAGAAAAGTAAAATATATAAATCTTTTTTTTTCTACAATATTTTTCATCAAAACAATTATAAGAAGATACAAAAAAGAAATAAAGATTTTTTCTTTGCGGCAACACTGATAATGAAGGATGCTCTCGCATCCTTGTTCTCACATTTGCTTCGTACTTCAATTAAGACAAATTTACCTTTTTCACTTTACAAGTCATCTTATATGTATATAGTACAGAGAATGATATAATTTTAAGATATAATCTTAAATCACAATTTTAACAAAACTGAATGTCAATTAATGTATAATAATTTTATTTAAAAGTATGACTATTTCTGTAGATATTCTCGTATAAAATTATGATAGATTTACTCACTATGTGTTATAATAAATAAATTTTATGACAAATTATTTATTGTATTTTTTAAATTCTATTTTTTTAAAGTTATTCCTTAGGATTTTTAGTTCTTACGCATACATGTTTATTGTTAGTTTACAGTGGTTCGCGTTAATGGATTTACCCAGACTTGTATATATTATACTAGACTGCTAAAAACGACGTTGCAATTGAAGTCAGGGCAGTCATTTACAATTAGGGATAGGATATACAGAGTATTCCAGACTTAATGAATCGGCCGTTAACGGTAAATTTTTGAGATCATTTGGAAACAAAAATCTTAATACCAAAATGTTGAGAAAAAATTTTTTAAGTGGGACACTCTATATGCTTTTACATATTCTTATAGCTTATCTCGAGAGCTTTCCAAAACACTATAATTAAGTTAGTTTTTATTAAATACATTTCTTAATTTTACATAAATCTTGTAAAATATCTTGTAAAATATTCATTTTTTGATTATCTCACCTTAATACTTTTATGTACAAAATAATGAGAGGACTCAATTAGTGTAAAGAAAACACATAATTGTTTAAAAAAAAATGTAATTGTTAATTGCAAATTACATTTTTTTTCGAAACAATTATGTGTTTTCTTTACACTAATTGATTCCTCTCATTATTTTGTTCATAAAAGTATTAAGGTGAGATAATCGAAAAATGAATATTTTACAAGATATTTTACGGTTTATGTAAAATTAAGAAATAATTTCAAGTCTCATAACTCGGAAAGTACTTAATGAAAATTAATTTAATAAAGTGTTTTGGAAAGCTCTCGAGATGAGCTATAAGAATATGTAAAAGCATATGGGGTGTCCCATTTAAAAAGTTGAAGATGACCTTCACGTGACCTTCACGTGACTCTTCAAAGTCAAACTAATGACATTTTATGTCATTAGTTTGACCTTGAAGTCCCCCTTAAAATCATACAACTTTTGTCTGAAATATTTTTGTCTACTGCGCTCAGTTTTTGAGATTCGGCTGATACGTGTGGTATCTACGACACTCTGTATATATATATATATATATATATATATATATATATATATATATATAGTATATAATATATATATATATTGAATGTTGATTAATTATTTTTACAATCACGTATCAAGTGACATGTTATATTAAGTTCTGTAATATCCGGTATAAATTTTGCCCAATTGTAAATGGCTGCGCTTGTTTCACATCCTATCACATGAGATATAGCCATGTTAGCAGTATACATACACTATATAGAAGTATGTGAATTTACCTTTGTCCAAACAAAGGGATAAATGACTCATTCTCTGTACAGAACGAGCTTCTATTTTCTTATCTAGATTTTTAAATGATAGCAACTTCCATAGCCATGAAATTGTCCTTTCAGGTAATTCGTGGATTGCGTGCGCGAGATCTTATCTGATGGATGCAGTCTGAAAGAAGCAATGTCGTTCTCTTCGCTCCTCGCTGAATATGTTCGGGACCTCGTAGTAGATAAACCTTGATTCCCTATCTTTATGTAAGGGCTTCAATTAAATCTGGCACGAGATACTGTGATCCATCGTATCTCGCGCGTCTGGCGCGAAATTATAACGGCCACGCCGTTAGTCAATGGAGCTTACTAGCCTGGGCTTTATGTGCACCTATTTGCTGTACATTTACGTTCCTTTTATGCCGAAGCAATGTATGGAGCGCACTACCAACATTTCCATACGTCTCATTTTACAATTGAGATTTTATCGATGCATTAAAGCGTACGAATTTCCGATGCAACTTTACGCAGCATGATAAATTGAAATAGCTTCTTTCTTTATTAGTCTACATATTTATAAACAAAGTTGGTTTTTATTTATTTATTTTGTATATCTCATTTATGTTTATATTTACACATTTCTTAGAATATTTATTATTATTTTTAATGATATTCCAATATGTTAATAATTTTGAGATTTTGAAAATGGCATTTAATACTTAGAAATAATAATATTTTAAAAAGTACATTTTTCTAGAGATTTTCTAGAGAAGAAGGAAATTTTATATTTATATATAAATATTATATATATTCTAAATATTTATTAGCAAATAAATTAAAAATCGGATTAATGATATTAATATAACTTATTATATATTAACTTAAAGCATATTACAACCTAATATGATTACATACCTAATATAATTACATTAATATAATTACATTACCTAATATAATTACATTAAAATTAATTTGCTGAATAAAAATGCGTTACAATAAAATGCATTATATATAAGCAATTGTAATTTTAGTAACTTTGTAATATATGTATAATAAATGAAAAGTTCTCTGAAATTGTCAATGTATCGAATAAAGATGAAACACATCATCAATTTATTGTCGTCTAAATTATTAATGTTAGGTGGCCATATGTGTACATATGTACGATGCCAGTCGTAGATTATGTCTCCTTACACGATACGTCAAGAACTGTAATTGAGATTTTATCGATGCACTAAACGGCTCCAACTTTTGATGCAACACATGCCGGAGTTTGCATAGTGTCATGATGCAGCAGGCAAACCTCGATGATTTTCTAATCGAACAACGATCTAGAGACGTTAACAATCGCGAATTACGTCTTAATCGAAGTGTCTATGAATAAATGTTTTAAAATTTCGATTTATATTTTAATTTATATATTAAATTTCAATTTATGTTTATATATTTATGTTACAGACAAAGCAACGACATCGATCTTTTCACCAAAGAACGCGATGAATATCAAAAACAGGAGACAACATTCTTTTTGTAAGTTGTTTCTTAACTTTTTGTACACATGTTAAATTGTGTATTTGTATTTAATACAATACACATGGGAATTTTTATTTATTATATCGAAATAAACAATTTCCTTAATTATTTTGAAATTTCTTTAAGTCTAATAAATTTTTTATACATAAGTTTTTATGCAGAAATTTTTTATACATAAGTTTTTATGCAGAAATTGTTACGTAAATATTAATTAAAATTAAATATATTTTAATAATTACATTTCTATTAGGATAAAGTTCATTTAGAATTTATCGAAGAATATGTTGTATTATTAAAATATGAAATAATGAAACATTTTTTATCAAATAGTTAAATTACTTAAAATTATGAGTATATATATATATATATATATTTCAAAGACAGAATCAAATTTTCATATAATTTTTAATTTTTGTGCTTTAATTAAAAAAATTTTTTATATAAATATTTTTGTTTAAAAAATTTTTAATTTTTCTATGCTATCACATCACTTGATAGAATTTAGAATATTGAATGCATTAGATCTAAATAATAAATAATTTTGTATAAAAAGTTTATATTAAAAAGTAACAGACATTAAATATATATTATTCTTCGATAAGAAATTTTTACGAACTTTTTCGATATGAAATTGTCGAGAAAAAGCGCGGTTGCGCGGCGACGAAGCCGAGATTAATTTCCACTAACGCGCTCGTTGAAAATCCTGTCGATACTTGCGAGATTTCTCTTGCTGCGGAAACGGCAGTGCATCTTCATCTGCCGTTGCACGGCACGCATTAGCAAGTTTTTCGACGATGCGGCAGCGCGATAAATCATAGTCGGGACTCCAGATGAGAGACGACGGATGAAAAATGATGTTCCGGCAAACGAACGCGTTACCACGGTCAGAGCAATGCTGAAATCGTGCTCGGACTAAGGACTTGTTCACACAAAAGCGAGCAGAATGCTTCCAACTGTCATTTAAATCTATTTCCGTTCTCTGAGATTTTGACGACTTTTATTTAAAAGTAAATCATTATTTTGAATTGTTCGTATACATATATATATATATATTTTTTCTTTATAAATACTTTGCGTTCCAAATAATTGACAGAAAATAATCAAATGCAATTTATTTTTTGAATCGCCTAATAATAAGAATGTCTAATAGCAATCGGAAACAATTGTTATAAATATACAAGTATTTTAAATATTTGTTATTAATAATATTAACTTAATGTTTAGCTTGTTAAGTAAATCTCAAATCAAATGACAAAATCATGATAAATTATTTTTTAAAACATTAGTGTTATTTTTTTAAAAGATAAGTATAAAGCGTTATATATTTCATATTATATATTTCATATATAATAGGAATATTAAATTATTTTTGTCGAAATTATAAACAATAAATATTAATTCGATTTCTAGTAAAAAATATTCTTTAACTTTCTTCAATTTCTCCTTAAAACTTTAAAACTTGAACATTTTTTAAATATTTAATGATTTATTCATTGTTACTGCAATATCTCACTGTCGTAGACATAGCATAGGATATCGACAGCAGTTGATTGGCAGCATAGATGTTATAGGTTCAAACTACTGGCATTTTGTGATTGGATTGCACATTTGCAATCTATGTCGTACTCGATTAATATGATATTTAGACAAAGACTTAAAATGAAAGAATATCCTAATATGTAATAATTCAAGTAAAAATAAAGAACATTTTAAAAATAGGTTTGATTTTAACAATAGATTATATAAGTAAAAAGATATATAAATTATGTAAATTTATAAATTAATATATTGTCTTACACACTTCTCGGAATAAATTTATTTCTAGAAAATCTATACTACACAAACACACATACATTACTTTTGATTCACGATATCTAATGTATATAATGTATCTAATGTATATAATATATCTAATGTATATAAATAATTTGAAATAATTATTTATATACAATAGATAAGGTGAATAAAATACATTTTGAATTAGTTTTGAAGCAGTTTTGAGTATAATAATACGTATAATTACTGTAGAATATTTTTAAATATTAGTTAATTAATTATAGTAAATAAATTATAGTAAATATTAAATAATGAGTATAATTACTGTAGAATATTTTTAAACAGATTTTTTAATATATATACATATATATTGTAAAATACAATATCTATAGAGATAATATTGATTGTTTTTATGTAAATGTCAAAGTTCAGTCAGATAAAAAGTGCTGAAAAAGTTAGATAAAAATGCTGAACGATTCAGATAATAAACCTTGCATAAAAACAACTCATAATTTAGATTCTTTTATCAAAATTGTTTGCTGCGATTAAATATATTTTCTACGATATTCATGGAACGTACATATAAAGCAAAGTCATGCATGTGATGAAATCATACCACGTATACTCTCGACGCACACGTGAGATATCGAGAGTGGAACAAGAAAATCCACTTGGAAAACAGCCCACTGAACTTATCCCATTGCCGCGAAGCGTGTCTCTCATGTATTAGTCAACGCCATAGCACACGCGTGCTTGGCAGTATCGATAAGAGACTTGAAAGGGCTGAGATATTTAACTTGCTTACGACACTTGATTAAAACGCGTTGTGGTACTATGAACATATTATCTTTTACTCGATAATAAAAATATAAGTGTTTATATATAGATTTCCGCATATTATTTTGATTTTTCATGGATTTTTTTTACAATTTTATAAAAATAAGAGATTCAATCTAATTTTATATTTATATTTATATATTAATTTGTTTATATTATCTCTTTCCTTCTCTCTGAATAATAGAGAAAATAGTACGTAAGTGATAAAAATGTTGATTTATACAATCAATTATACCTCTCTAATCAATTATATTTGTTTTACTTAGAATAGTAAAATATATACAAAATATATATAAAATATTTTTAGAGATATTTTATATAAAAATATATAAAATATTTTTGGACATTTTTTAAATGAAATAAATATTTCGCACAATTTGATAACTTTTAATATACGTTTTTAATTAAAATAAATTATATTTATTTCAAGTTTTATTTAATTATCGTAAAACAATCTGATCAAAAATAATTTAATTTAGAAAATTTTTGCTTTTAATGATTTCACAGATTGTTAAATTGATTATTTAATCGCATATGCTGTTCTTCAATAAACTGCAATGTATTTAACATGTACTCAACAAACAAACGATATATAAGATGTTCGTATATATAGAGTTTGGTTTAGTCCTGTTAACTGGAAATTTAAGGAAGACTAAGCTGCTCCAGGAGGGAATATTGGGTGTGGCATCGCCAAGATTTGAATTTAAGTTTTACTAGGGATTTTCGAAAGGGGGGAAAATGCGAAAGTAGAGAGGGTGCGAGCGGGCCTTGAAGTTTTAAAAGGGTTTAGGTGAACTTCCAAGAGCCTTTCCGGAGGAAATTCCGTCGTCCTCGAAGATCTGCTTTGCGTGGGTTGCATTCTTATTCATAAACGTGAAATATTGTAAAAGACTCACGATGTAACCGCGCGATGAGTAGAATCAAAATTTTTTGACAATATTCTCTTCTTTTTTCGATATAGAAAGAGGAGTTGGAAGAGAATCTTTATTTACGGACGATGGATGAAATCTTGAAATGTTGAATCTAGTTTTAGTTATTATAGTTTACAGACTTTTAAGCAAATGTTTTAGTATGTGCATTTTAAACAATTTAAGAAAAAACTAATTATTTTATAGACATTTATTTTTAATGTGTATAAATATATTTTAATACACACATTATACATTTTCTATTATTTGACATTAAATCTTTTATTTTTAAACTTTTTCCAACATGTAAAGTAATAAATACAAGTTATGTTTCGATACTTAAAAAATGTCTCTATTAAATAAGATATTCTATTATCGATTTTATTCAATTTAAATAATAAAGAGAAAGTGAAACTTTTAAGAACCGATAAAATCTATCAGTGACGCGGAAAAAAAATCCAAATTGAAGATGAAGAGGGGACGGATGAAACGGATCGGAATAACGAGGAGTAATCATTAAGGATTTCATTGAAAAATCCAATTATCAATGCAAGTCTAGTTCTTCGAGAATACCTATTTCCTTTAACAAGAACTTTTTTCACGATCGTCATGCATATAATTGCTAGAAAGCAGAATGAACTGCAAAGTCGCTAATTCTTTCAATAGTCTGAAAAGTGGTGGGAACAATGATAGAAAAAATGCACACAAAAGGATTTATCACCAACTACTATATAATATTATAAAGTGATGATTGAGAAACAAAAATGTTAAAAGTTAGAATTTAGAGCTATCTGACAGGATATCAATTTTTTGTTGTTATATTTAAATTTGCAAATAAATAAACTTGGAGAAAATATAGAATATATCTTTAATCAAGATATGGAATATATCTTTAATGAATTATGACAAATTACTCTAATTGGAGTTTATAAATTATAAAAGACATAAAAACAACTTTTTTAAATTCGTTATTATTAATCATAATTTAGCATAATTTATTATAAATTAATGCAGACATTTTCTTAATCTATCAATGCTAGTCAGCTCTTTCACTCTATCAACATTTAAAAATTTTTAGTCACACAATTATTATAATGAAAGAAGCTTTATTGTATATTTTTATATTATATTATATGGATGGTTATTATTAACATATAAAAAATGTATATGAAATAATATATATGAAATAATATTTATGAAATAATATTTATGATTATTATTAACATATAAATAATGTAAATTTTATTAAATTGGTTTAAGGATATTGTGTTATTATTCACATTCGCTGATATTAAAAATAGGTCAATGTGTGAAACTACGTTTTATTGAACGTTTCTCTCTCTCTTTCTCTTTCTGTCTCCTCCTCCTCCCTCTTTTTCTCTTTCTCTCTCTCTCGGAACTAATCAATAGCACGATTTCTTGGTATAACTGTATTGTAAAAATTTTTTACTTTTTTTATCATTTTCAAAAAAATAG